AAAAGACATACGTATATCTTTCAGTTAATTATTCTTTCCTTAAGTTTCAAGTTAGCTTCATACTTACAGTTTTATTTATTTATTTTTCTTCCTTGGAAAATGTTTGGTGTCAACGATTGTAGTTTAAAAAGGTTTTTATATTTCAGTTCAGATTTAATTTTTAATCTCAAACACATTTCTTTGGTTTCACCCCAACATTCACACACAGCTAGCATGATGCTTTGTGTTAACATATTAGCTGTCTTGTCCAGCTTTTTAAACTGGGGGAAAAAAAGCTAAATTAACTGCTTTAGCCTCATTTTCTTTTAAACTACTCTATGTTAGCTTGCTAAAAGTTAGTGTATGTTTTAAAGTATTTGTAATAGTTTTAAACTGTCAGAGCTTTTTAGCTAGCTTTATGAGAGGGTCACATTTGATCAGTTAAACTCTTTAAAAAATGTTATTTTCTGAATTGCTTCATCGAGTGAATAAAATATCAGATCGCATTATTTTGAATTCTTCTGTAAACTCAGTCATGTGACGCCGGTGTAGTTTTCTGGCTGCACATTGGAAGCTTCATATCACCAAAGCACTTCATGATCTTCGACTTGCTGCTGATAAAAGTTGTTTGCGACCTTTCCATKTCTGTCTTCAGGAGGAGGGGAAAAAGATATTTCAATGGTGAAAGTTCTCTATCTGAAAGTCTGCTGTCAGATCAGTTGCAGGAAATTACTGCTTAGCTTTGAGCTGGCTCCTTTAAGCCATAAAATAATTTCCGGTGACTCCTTGTTACACAACAATTCAGTTTTTTTTTTTTTAAATACAACCTCAATTTTCTGAGCTAATTCTTTGGGCTCCATGAGCTTAACATAATAAAAAAGCAACAACAAATATGATGATTAAATGTACTAAATCTTAACTGTTGCTCATGTTGTGCTTGTGTGTGTATGGGCCTGTTTTACAACTGTCTGAGTGTGTAGTCCCATTATACGGGTTTTACAACCCTTTTAAAAATGCAGGATTAGTGAAAGTCATCACATCAGCTCCAGTGCCAGTAAAGAGCAGCTTCTGAGGCTGAACTCTGTCCTGTCTGTGTGCCATATAAAAACATCAAAGTTGCAACACGTCTAACAATGTTTCCTCAAATCCTCCTACCTTCAAACTCTATGATCTTGCTTTTATTATCTTAACATCTTGAAACCTCAAAGTTCATTTTTTAATAAACGCAATGCAATAAATTCCCACAAAGAGAAAGTGTTTTTTTTTGAAAGGTGGTTTTGTGGATTCGTTATCAGTAATTAGTAGCTTCTTTTATAAAGCTGGGAGTGAGATTCCTTCCACCTGTGTTGGTGTGATTCATGTAACTGACGGACCGTGTGGGCGGTTGAAGTCTACCTGTTGTGCTTTCACCTCTGAGCTGCCAGGTGAGGTAGTCACATGTGGAACATGGTCAGTGTGTKTAAGGTAAGACAGCATTATAACTCAAGGATGTGATGTGATGTGATGACATAATGTTTGGGCAATCCAAACCGATGYAGCATATAGAATGATGTATGGCTAAAGGTCTCACTGGGCTGTGACTGTTGGCCACAAACTGTGATCAGCCTTCGGAAGAGAGTCTGTTTCCTTGTGTGTTGTTGCAGGGCTTCATTCTTGTGTTACTGTAATTTCAAATGAATTTTTTTTCTTTAAATTGTACAACAAATCTTCTCTCAAAGTGGTCTAAACTTTGCTGCGGGCACCTAGAATGTGTCTTGAACCTCTCCCACTTCAGTTTATTTTATTTTAGAGTGGTAGAACCATGCTTTTTTGGTGAAAGTGTCAGGAAATTATGGGTCACATCTTTTGCAGTTTTTTTTTCTTTGTCTCCAGTAGATGTGACATTTACAAAAAAGCTGAATTTTTTGAACATCTTACAATGAAAGTTACCGAGTTGCGGACAGCAAAGAGCTGTTCGTAATTCAATTTTTTATTGAATTTTTTATTGAGCTGTGGCTACAATGTAGCTTACCACCATCAGTGTGTGAATGGGTGGACAATTGAAGCGTAGAGCGCTTTAAATMCATATGGACTTGATAAGGTGCTATATAAGTTCAAGTAATTTACCATTTACCATACCGTTMATATTACTTCATACCTCGCACTGGTTTTGCAATGTTGACTTCTTTTACATACACGTCAAGCTGTGGCCAGTCTAAGGCACACCTGTGCAATAATCATGCTGTCTAATAGGCATCTTTTAATTATTTATTTATTTAATTCCTTTTTTTAACCAGATAAAACCCCACTGAGATCGAGATCTCATTTGCAAGAGGGACCTGGGCATCTTGATATGCCACACCTGTAAGGTGGGATGGACTATCTCTGCAAAGGAMAAGTGGCCCCTAACACAGATTTACACAACTTTCTGTACAATATTTTAAGGAAGAAGGTTTATTGTGTACATAGAAAAAGTTTTAAATCTTTAAGTTCAACTCGTGAAAAATGGGAGCAAAAAGAAAAGCGCTGCACTTAGTTATTTGTTCAGTGTAATAACAAACTGCAGGTCAACACAGTCCTTTTATTTAACCATAGGCTTTTGTGTATTTAGGTATTTAATACAAAAATATGAAACAAGGGAAATTTTGAATATGGAGGTGTTTCAACAGTATTCTTTGATGAGGTCTTTTCAACATGTTAGGAGGAAAAAATGAATTTTTATGATAAAAGTTATTTTTGTTGGCTCGCTCAAATTTGAAAAATAGGGAACATGAGAAATTTGTCATATTTTTATGTAAATAAAATGCAAAACTTAAATCAAAATCACCTTTCATTGTGAAGCGACTTTAAAACAATTAAAGATTACTACCTAAATGCTGTAAATTAAACCCATAAAACAATTAAAACTAATTGTCAGTGGGTTAAACATTAAAATAGAATAAAAGAGTAACAAAGGAAAAAAACAACAACGCTCTTCTGGCAGAAGATCTGTGTATGTTACTGCATGTAGTTTCCTGGTCTTGTTGTTGTCCGTAGTYTGAACTGTAGGTGGGGTTGTAGTCAGTAAAGTTCAACATCGTGCCTCACGTTGGGTTTCCTGCTCCAGCTCTGTGTGTTGCTCTGAGGAGGATCGCCTGATCATCATTCATCCTGTTTTTGAAGCAGAGAGTCGGAGTCAGCACACAAACCGAACGACACGAGGASGCCGATCTCTGTGGTGCCACCTGCGACCTTTGATCTGGAAATGTATGACAGCATTGCAGGAAGTACCAGGGTTCAAAGATGACAGGGGGGAAAACATCGGAAGATGTTCGTAAAATCAACGGAAAAAAAGCCAAGAGTCAAGGGTCAAAACAATTTCTACAGTACTAAGCATATTTTCTGCCTAATAAACAAAAYTGAATAAATATAAAAAGCGTAAACCTTTATTAGTTTAACAAGCTGCAGGGAAACAAGGCTCTCTGTGACCAAAATGAACCAAAATACAACAGAAAAAATACACATTAATTTGACCTGGTTTCTAATGTAATAAAAGTGGACATAATTATTATTTTGATTTGATATTTTGTTGCTCTGTAATTKCAACGTGATGCAGCTTATAGTATTTTGTAATTAGTTATTAGTAGTAATTATGTAAACTTATAATGATGTCATGAAATTTAAAGATTTAAATTGCACAGATTCTGTCAAATGAATGAGTAAATAAACTATTATTATTATTATTACTACTACTACTACTACTACTACTACTACTATTATTACTATTATTATTATTGTTATTATTATTATTACTATTTTTGAAGATGCAGCTTTAACAAAATACTAGTTTAAAATTAATTTGAAGCAATGCAGTTATGACCTTAAACACAGAGAATCCAAAGCTTAAACAGTGGTTCTTAAACTTTCCCTGGAAAGAACATTGTTCTTATTTTTACTTTATTTTTTCCGTTTTTGTTCAGTCTTAAGCACACGTGCTGCTGCTGTGTATTCTGAGTTCTGTTTATTTGTAACCCGTCCCCTGAGTAACATGTTTGACATCTGTAACTCTTGTGTTCCTGTCTATCCTCACTGGACAGACGAGGTCATTACATCTGAACTTTGACCTGTGAGGTCGGACTTTGCCTTCCATTTTGACTGTTGTTGTTTGGAGCAGAGCTGGTAAATCTGATTCATTGGTTGTGTCTGAATTTAGGGGCTGCATCCTCCTTGTATATGCATCACTACTTATGTCACTGCCCCACGCCCAAGACTGACCCTTCRTGGGCTCCTTCTCATGCGGCTGCTGAATCCAGCCCACAAAACTTCATAAATTAAGATTGAACCTGAGTGTCCTTCCTGGTCGAGGATATCCCTGACTTTATTGCGTCATCAGCAAACTAAACAGAAAAGCAAAGACAGCTGAGTTTGCAATGTTAGCAGTAAGTCGGACACCTTCAGGGTGAGAGTTGGACTCCCCCAGGGTTGCCCATTGTCACTGATTCTGTTCATAACATTTATGGGCTGGTTGGCTGAGGTTCTCCTTTTACAGTYTCATTTTTATAGTTGTAGTAAATGTTACAACTAGTCAGAGTTCCCTTGAAAACTTGTACTGTGGACCAGAATTTTCATAGGCTGATGYCCTTCTGGCTTGTATTTGATTCATTATGTTCAAACATGTGTGATGGACCTSCGACCTGTCCAGGGTGTACCCYGCCCTTATGGATGGATGTGTGTTGAAAAAGGTTCATGAATACTGGTAAGTGTTGCTGGGTCTTTGGTCCTGCCTTGGAAATGAGTGTTATCATGGCACATTCATGGTTAGTGTTCACAGCCCACCTGGTCCTGGTTGGTCATTGAAGGTTGGAGAAATCCATGTCAGATCAGGACTCCAGCAACTTTTAAAACCAACTTAAATATCTTAGTTGTAGATCATCCAACACTTGAGTAGATTTCCTTTCCTTTTCCCCCCTTCAGCTTTCCTCTGTCCTTTTTATAGAGCTTTTAATCCGGTGGTTTTAATCCTCTCAATCACTTCCTCCCTCCTCTTTTCTRCTTCCCTCTTTTTCTCCTTCTAGTTCTCCCTGCTGAACCTCCTCGTCCTTTTTCCACTCTGACTTTATTTTTATTTTTTTCTCTTGTCTCTAAAACATTACATTTCCTACTCCAACCCTTTTCTTTCCATCGTGTGTCCTCTTTTAAGTGTAAACTCATTTGAGTTCTTTTTTTTTCTTTTTTGGATTTCCAATCTTTTGTATTTGCACCTTATCCTGTTACCTCCTTCTAAAAAGAATAGTCAAGATACTTYCCACCATGTTTGTATTTCCTTATTAACTACTTTTTCATCCCAGTTCAAGTTTTGGTTCATATAACTCTTTCATTAWTGTATACACTGGGAATTTTTTGAAACATTCCTCTTTTCTTTTAAATCTTTTTTTCCCCTGATTCTCATTTCTTGTGCCAATTCCTGCTTTTGCGCCTTTTCCCTTTATTTCCGTCCGTAATTTAATTTCTATTAGTGCATCTTTTTTGGCTTTATCCTTATCTTCTCCTCCCTGACCCCAGATTTCTTCCTCCCTTCTTCCCTCTCTTCATATGTTCTGTTTTTGTTTATCTTCCCCCCCTCCTGCCTCTCAGTTTCTTCTCCCGTTTCCTCCTCTCCCCCTTCTCTAGTGTTTATGTTTTCAGCTCCTGGAAGTCCTCCTCTCCTCCTCTTCCTCCTCCTTCTTTCTTAATCTGACTCCCTCCTCCGCCCTCCCCACTCCTCATCCCTTCTCCACACTCGGTCTCACTCAGCTCAGAGCTGAGCAAAGTCTGGATAAAAGAGGTTCTGTGAACAATTCAACCAACAGTTTGGGATTTTATTTGGCAACAGTGACGCCCTTTAACAGGTATGGATGCTGATGATGGATCAGTCTTTCTGTTTAGTTTGATTCAGTTCGTAACAGTTGATTTGTTTGGATTTAAAGAAAGTGTTTTGAGTAAAGTACATAAAGAGAATTTCTAATAAAAATTTAAAGCCTTAATTTAGTTGCCCAACCCTTGGTTGTTGTTTTACTTTGTCAACTTCATTGATTTAATCATTTTTAAAATAATCAACCAGATTACTTTAAACAAAATCAACCATGAGTGAAAAATAAATACAAATATTACCACTTAAATCTGAAAAACTTAATCTAAATCAGACATTTTTAAAACCTACATTTTATTGCCGTATTTTTGAAATGTCAACAGTTTTTATCTTGAACATATTAATGTCACCTTCCATCACTCCAAAGATTTATCTGATCTTTTCTGACTCCTTAAACTTTACTGACACATTTTCCATCAATAAAATGTCAAATCATTTATTTGGTATCACTAACTGATCATTTGTTTTACTTCTGAATAGCCTTTTTTTTTTACCCAAAATCCTTACATTAGGTCCAGATTATAAACTTCATTGAATAATAATTAATACCTGTTAAATTATTTACACTTAAAACTATTGTTTAAATGCTGTGAAGTGGGATTCTGTCAATATTTTTTGAATTACCTTAATTTGGAGAAATAGTTTTGTGTTCACCAGATTGACGAGCTAATGGCTAGTCYGAGCAAAGACATCGGTGAGGTATATTGACTAGAGGCTCTGTCATGTGGCTTTTCATGGTCGGGGAGGGCGGCCATATTGTTCAGGGCGAGGACACCTCAACAGACAGAACTATTGGCTGGTGAAGCTGAATGTGATAATGGTAAATATGACATGATTTAGGTCAGCACATCAATGAAACTCAATTTGCTATTGATAACCATTGTTTTGATTAGATAGAAATATTTCTCAGTACATTTTATCATGTTGTACAAAAGCCAAGGTACACATATCTGAAATGAATATCTCTAAAAGGCAGAACCTAACCAATAGAAAAAAAATGAATATTTATATTAATTCTACACAGAAATAGCATTATAAATTGTTTACTTTGATAGTCCACCCCAAACAATATGGCATTGTGCTCATACCACAGTGGTCAGTCTTATAAAGTGTGCGTGATACTTCTAGTTAATATACCTCATTGGAAGACGTAACCAGAGTGGATTGCTTCTAATTTTAAACAACTTCAGCCTCTGAAATAAAAAAGCAGTTCATGTGAATTGTTTTATAAACCTTTACTTTACCATTTGTTTCACAGTTAAATGTAGATTTCTCTATTTGCAAGCAGAGTCAGTAGCAGGCAGCTGTAGCACTTCTAATGCAGTGTGAGCAATCATGTGATATTTAATGTATCACAATGTTTTTTTAACACGTGTTACGACCCAAGGCCTTTCCTCTGGGTCCTTCTCTAATGTCCTAATTGGTGCTGATTGGACCTGGAGGCAGCTGGCCAGTGTCTCCAGGAGAGTTTCCGATCCAGCTTAAGATCCACCGCCTGCTCTCAGTGCTAGGCTTCTTTTCCTTGCTCTTTTTTCAGCCAGCTATGAATTTTTGAATCTAATTTTAAGTTATCCCATGCATTGCTTCCCTTTACTTGTTCTGGTCCTTAAGTCAGGCTGTAACAAACTGGGGTCTCGTCCGGGATAGAATTCAACATTGACAGCAGTATTTGTAAAATGCGCTCATGTGAAGTTCTGCTAACTTTATCGGATCAGTTGTTTTAGGATGATAGAAATCCACTTCAGAGGTGGCCTCAGACCATATAAAGCTGCTATAAACTAAGCTCATTTGAACAGACCTAAATTAAAATAAACTTGAAATCTGAGGCACAAAATTTGGAAAATTAGAGCACCTTTTTAAGACTGCAGTAACCTTATTTGGTCTCAGTTGTGGTTAGGACTCGTAGTTAACTCGTTACCACCTCTGTTTCTCCAAACTGAGGTCAATCAAAGAGTTATCCACAACCAGTGAGATATTTATTGTTCATAACCTTCCTACGAAGCCCCACTTCAAAAGATCTAAACTATACATGACTTCAAGAATACTGAGGTTGTGGAAATTTAAATTAACTTTAAAATGACATGTGGGCTCCAGATTTTTCCWAATTTAAACTATGCTATTTCTGAGAAATATATCTGCAAATACGGAGGTTGGAATATTAAAGGTGCAGTATGTAACGTTTCTAAAAATGTATTTTTTACATATTTTTTCATTCTGTCACTATCTCCTGACAGATTGATATTAGACAGGTAAGCTATGGAGGAAAAAAGAGTSCTCTTGYTTTTCCYKGTGGTACTACAGGCTTTAGAAAAATCCAGGCTGACCCGAGAATTAACAGCCAATGAAAACAGAAGTTTGTTCGTGAACGAGCTTCTGACGCCCATCCCCCACGTCACTGCCCGCAGCGCGCAGACGTGCACGTTCTCGTTTCATAAGCAGCTGCAGTGACGGAGGATAAACCAGCTGCTACCTTTCCTGGATCAAATATTCCTGTAAAACTTCCAGTTCCCCGATTGGAGCCTGTTCTGAAACCCATCCATCCATCCATCCATCC